AGTATTGTTTCCTTTTAGGAAACCCCTGAAAACGGCGATTAAAAATAGTCTACCGTTGCAATTTACTATGAATTTATGAGTGTCGATCACTCAAATTTCGTAGTAAAAAAATTATTCACCTGATCTGCGTGACATCTGGATCGACTGCTAAGTTAGATACCGCTCTATGTGTAAGATTAATGCACCAGCATTGTAAAAGAAAAGAATGGTATCAGGGGCATGCAACACGAATAATATCGCAAAGTTACAGCATTAGGAGCTTCCTTTTCCTAGGTTTTCCTTTTTAGTTTGTGTTAAATTTGTTGGAAAGAGTTTTCTATTACAGTATTAGCCGGGCATAGTAATTCAAAAACAGCAGCAAAGTAAAGCACAAATTTTTTCTTAAAGCTATAATCATTTAGAATTACTGGATCTACGATTAGAGGCATCAAATCTATGATCCATTGGGGTGCGCGGCATTCAAAACTATGTTGTTGCTTCTGTTGGAATTCCTGTTGATATCATTAAACCTACTGCACTCATTAAAAATTTACACTGTCGATCATATTTTACTTAGATTTGTTAGTCCAGATTTTTCGCTTTTGTCAAAATTTTCGGTTTATTTCAGATTTTTTTTCCAGTCTGATGCTTTGATAATCTCTAATAGATGTAATATACATATGTTTGTACGTCAGAGTGGAATTATTGTAGATTAAGAACCACTTAGGTTAAAACTTCTAAATGTGACTCAAGATGATATGAAATCTAAAGCAACCTAGATTGATTTAAATTTAATACTATAATAAATGAATAATCGATTGACGCGATGATAGTTAAAGTAAATTACATCCTATCGTTATAATAAATTGTCAAAATATTTAAATGCCAAATTTTTATTATGCTATCTCTTTACCCTTTTTCATTCTTTCTGTCTGATGATTGAATTTCAAGACTATCCGTAATGAATTTAGTGAACCGCTTTCTAAATACTTTAGCAACAAATCGCCTAATAAACGATGTAAAACCTTTATTACACGTGAAAGACTTTGATTTCTGTATTAAGATCCAGCAAATACAATAATCGGGAATGCAAAAGATCGCTATAGGAAAAAAATACATCTGCCATACGTGATCTTGAAGCACAGACCAACCTTATAATTCTCTATAATTCAATCATTGGGTCCCAACAAGTTTTCAGTGTTGGATAGTATTCTTTTAACGATAATAAGCGTTCTTAAAGTAATCCTCTTCGCAAATAGGCAATGTTAAATGCAAAAATTCGTGTGAAAAAAATCATTGTAAATGTAAAAAAAAGGAATTTACCTCGTGATAGGAGTTGTCATTCTAGTAAAACCAACTATAAATGTAAAAATTTTATATACGCCTTAAAGTTAACTAATTTGTGACGCACAGCACTATGAATAAATCCAAACAATATACTTGATAAAAATGATTTAGAGTCCATTTAATTTTGCTGTAAGTTGAATTGAATTCTTTAACAACTTAAAACAATTTAGAATTCTATTACTACCTATGGTTATTCGAAATCAACCTATGCAAAAATTATTACCTATCGATCGCTATCTAAAAAAAATTTATTAATATAATTTAGAGTGCGTACACCCAATGATCCATGACCCTATGGCAATTCTTGAATGTGTGCCAATTTGTGGCACAGTCAAAATTCTTTAAAGTTCGTTTACGTTAGGGTAGGGCTTTTATCAAGATTATAGGTTAGGATATTTTATAGTAAAATTGCTAAGGAACACATATTATTATTGAATGAAGAGTAATTTATATGCAATTTTTTCAAGGAATAACCGATTTTTGGCAAAATGACGTTCGCTTTGTTTGTGTCTACAAACCTGGTACACATTCAAAAATTGTGATCTTATGATCGTGAGATTTCATTAGTCTATCATCGAAACTTAAAAATAAAAATAACTACAATGATAAGCTCTTTTATATTATCCAAAAAGTAAATCGAATTATAACCTTTATTTAAACCATGATCGTATACCTTTTACATAAACTAAGAACATACATATACTGTACGAGTCATTATAAAACTATACTATTTGAGTTATTCGAATTATTACTAATAAATACTGAAATACAGTGTGTATAGTCTAGGGAATTATAAAATAATATGAATGCTACATGATCATTATCTAGTCTATGCATGAAAAAAGAAAAATAGGAATAATAATAAGTAATAGAATATAAATAATAAAAATTATAAGAAATTTTCATCTCATTGAAAGAGCGAATTTGTAACCGATTATCAATAATAAACCTGTTAAAAGATTTTTATTTGCAACTATTCACATCTAAGCCACATTGGCATGTAAGGTAAAAAGCACCACCACATTTTCCACATAACGGTTTGCTGGTTGCTACTCCACAATCCTTGTTACAACCGGGTGGGCAAGGATCGGTATCCTTTACTAATACGCAATTCCTGCAGTGATGGTCGCATACACCATCACCATTCCAAAAGCCACATCCATAACCAGCAAATACGATTTCGATGGAAAGAAATAACAGAATGAAGGCCAAAAAATATCGCATATCTATGATTAAAAAGTATATTATATATAAGCTAAAATAATTAAATGATTATTTAAATAAATTTATTTTACTTACTGTTTTGTTTTTTTCTTCGTGCTAAACTTTTTTTTTATCTTTCAAGGGAAAATGAATCTTGTAAGTTCATTCTTGTTAAAATGTCGATTATTTATAACAAATTTTTCAACGATAGCATATATATTAATAATTGAATTATGCATAACGTTGCGAGATAAATTGTTCAAACTTCAAAATATTCAAAATTTGAAACATTTCATGCAATGAGTTTTAATCTTGTAGAATAGATTTGTAATATAATTTATGTAAGTATTCCTTTAAACGTACGAATCATGCTTTTAACCACATTAGGAGAACATTAAAGCCAGGTGCGTTAGAATTACTTTTTTGATGCAATTAT